GAAGAGGGTCTGTGCAATCCCTCTGCCCAGTCCGCCATCTTCTATTCCTCCTCCTGAGCCCGATGTATAACTCTTTTAATATCGTATCTTCTTATTTCTCACTGACTTCTGAAGCTCATGTTTGTCTATCTGCCAGGGCTTCAAGTTAAAACTTTTTATTTCCTCTATGGTAATTTTGCCTCATTACAGTGTGAGAGAACTTTAACTGTGCTTTGGTCTGTGCACATGGATTGAAGATTTGCCCATTTCTAAAGTTATCTGATTTATAACATGACAAACAAAGCTTTTCAGTATTTAAAGCACTGCTATAATGTTTAATTGGATTTTATCTGCTTAATTTGCCATTCTAATGTTATTTTTGGAATGTTGTCAGTTGTAATTATTTTCTATGACTATTTTCTTGGGCTTCAACCAACTGAATGAAATAACGTGTTTGGCTTTTGTTCAGCAACCAAAACTATAACCTTTTATTATGCAAAAACATCTCTATTTGCTGGTATCATCTTTAATACTACCAGCATTTCCCAGGCATAAATGTATTTTTAATTACTTTCATAGAGCAAGCAGACGGAGCACAGAAATTTGGGGTTTTGTTTGTCTTTATAATTCTTCAAGTGTTATCAGAGCCTGGAGAAACAAAAATCACGAAAGAGTCATTTATTTGAGACTATCTTTTCAACTTTTAAGTGGGTTTTGTTGATTTTACAGCTGTAGCTCAAGTATAATTGTTTCTTAAATTTCCAAATTACTCTGTTTGCCCTTTTCACCTATGAAAGCAATGTGATTCTGAAAATATTCATTATTGAGGCATTCTAAATTTATCTTTGCTTTCACCAAATTTTCTAACATGGGAAAGTTCATTCATAACCCATCTTTTTTCAGTAGTTTCTCTTCTGAAATCTACCATTAATTTTATAACTTTTCCACTTTTCACCTACTACCTTGTCCCATCAGTAACATTAGAAAAGTAATGCTTATATGTAAGATATATAATTGAGATAGGTTGTTTTGAAGCCTCCATAATTGTTTTTTTTCCTTCAAATATTCCCAGAACCATGTGCAGAGGAGAAAATTCCATCCTTGGACAGTTAAAAACAGAGCGTAAGTAACTGTTTCACTTGTCCTCCATGGCTATTTTTTAATATGAAATTAAAATGTCAATAACAATGTTTTCACACTGTGATTATAGAACTCTAGTCTTAAAAGATATCCCATAAAATATTTGACCAACTCCCAAAACTAAACTCACTGCCATCAAGTCGATTCTGACTCATAGCAACCCCCATTGGGTTTCCGAGGCGATTGATCTTTATGGAAGTAGATTGTCCCATCTTCCTTCATTGGAGTGGCTGCTGGATTTAAACCCCCAACCTTCTGGTTAGCAGTCAAATGCTTTAGGCACTGTGCCACCAGATCTCCTTAAATATTTGACAGAGATAAATTATTCTTATTAAATTGCCGAAGCCAATGTTCAAATGAAGATACTAAGACCTACGAGGCATAAATAGGACAAAAAGAGAATGGTTTTATAATTTGTTTATATGTTTATCTATTTGCTTTTATTAGTTATTTAGCTATAGTTATTGTTTTGATAATAAATGAGATCTGTAAGGTACCTCACAAAGACCCTACATGTGCATTCTTCTCTCATCCTTTACCACCATCCAGGACAGTAGGCAGGACAGTTGTCACCTCTGCTTCACAGATGATAGGAAACAAATGCTGCAAGGGCAACAGGTATTTATGTGCCTACCTACATACAGAGAGTCCCCAGGGTACTCACAACACTTTCTTATAGTTAGGAAAGAAAGCCAATTATGTACCCATTTTGCCATTTTGTTAGTAATATTTGACTAATCTTTGAGAATATCATATTAGAGGTAGATAAATGATAAGAACTTTTAAAACCACAATACTACCTTTAACTTCTGTAGTTTTTCATACTTTTTAAAGTCACCTTCTCAAATATCTTCTTAATGAATCTTCCTACATAACTCTTAGTTACAATATAATGTAACTATGGATTTACTTATTTACACATTCCTGAACCGACCCTAAGGTCAGCATATAGTAGGTGCTCAGTAATGGTATATAATCTTGTGTAACAAGTATGGATAATTCCACAGAATTTGGTTTAACAATATTCTTTAATAAGATGAAAAAAGTAATCTCCAACTTTATGTAGAAAGGAAGAAGGCCCCAAATACCTAAACAGTATTAAAGAAGAAGAACAATGTAGGATACCTCTTGATTTTGAAATTATTATGTAGCCATGGCAATCAAAACTGTCTGATACTGATTCAATGGTGGACACATAGACTGTTGGTATAGAATTGTAATGGGTGGAAGTAAATCCATTCATCTACAGGCAGCCAGTCTTCAAGAAAAGGTCAAGGTCCATTCATTGGGGAAGTGTCTCTCTAACAAATGATGCTGGAAAAACTGGATATCCATATGCAGAAAACTGAAACAGTACCCATACCTCACACTGTGCACAAAAACTAACTCAAAATGGATCAAAAATCTAAATCTTAAACCTAAAACTATAAAGTTTCCTGGAAGATAACATACTGTCAAAACTAGGTGGCTTAAGTTTTGGTATAAAAAGTCTATCAAACACAACTAAAAATGCACAAACAACAGAAGATAAGTTTGATAACTGGGACCTCCTATAAATTAAATACTTATTATTCATCAAAAGGTTTTACCAAGAAAGTAAAAAGAGAACCTACAGACTGGGAAAAATTATTTGGCAGCAACATATCTGATAAGGATCTAATCACTAAAATACATAGAAAACTTCCACAACTCAACAACAAAAAGACAGTCCAATTTAAAAAATGGGCAGAGGACATGAACAAACACCTCACCAAAGAGGACATTCAGGCAGCCAACAAATGTATGAAAAGTATTCACCATTAGTCACTGGAGAGATGCAAATCAAATCTGTAATGAAATACCATCTCACCTCTGAAAACAGGGTAATGATGGGAAAAAAAAAAAAAAAACAGAAAACAACAAATGCTGGCAAGGTTTTGGAGGGGATTAGAACTCTTAAACATGGCTGGTGGAATTGTAAAATTATACAACCACTAAAGAATATGCTATGGCATTTCATCCAAAAGCTACAAAAAGAACTATGTTATGATCCAGAAATCCCACTTCCAGATATGTACTAAATGTAGAAATATATGTGGAAAAAAAAAAACTCACTGTCATCAAGTCAATTCTAACTCGTAGTGATCCCCATTGGGTTTCTGAGGGTGTAAATCTTTATGGAAGTAGATTGCCCCATCTTTCTTCCATGGAGCGGGTAGTGGCATTGAACTGCCAACTTCTGGTTAGCAGTCAAATGCTTTTAGGCACTATGCCACCAGAGTTCCTCCTAAAGATACAAGAGCAGTGAAATGAATAGATACATGTTCATTGCAGCACTATTCACAATAGCAAAAAGATAGAAACAGCGATCAGTGGATGAATAGATAAACAAATTGTGGTACATACATAGAATGAAATACTATGCAACTATAAAGAATAATGAATAATGAAGAGTCTAGGAAACATATTATAAGATGGATGAATCTGGAGGACATTATGCTGAGTGAAATAAGTCACAAAAGGACAGATATTTTTATGTTTCACTATTATAAAAAGTCAAGAATAGATATATACACAGAACACAGTTATATGATGGCTATCAGGGACAGGAGGAGGAATCCCTTTCAAGATAGTAAATGCTTGTTACTCTGGGGGATGGAAAAAAACAGTCCTAAATATGGATGAAGTCAGGACAACTTGACGAAGACACTAAGAAATACTCAAGAGATAAGGACAATTTCAGTAAATATTACAATATATCCAATTTTACAACGAGTAAAATCAACCAAAAATATGTATATAGTTATGTAGGTAGACAGGGATGCATAAATGTGTATGAGAAGGCATATGTGAGTAAATGCATGTGCATGTATAGTTGTATCTGTCAAAAAATCAAACTCATTGCCATCGAGTCAAATCCAACTCATGGCAAATCCCTCCTTGGGTTTCCAAGGCAATATCTCTATGGAAGTAGATTGCCCAGTCTTCCTTCCAAGGAGTGGTGGTAGGTTTGAACCGCCAGCCTCTGGTTAGCAGTCAAATGCTTTGGCACCATACCACCAGAGCTCCCTGGTATGTCTGTAAGTCTATGTATATACATATTTGTGTGTACTGCATATATATATCCACATGTGAAACAAACCACATAGTGGCACAGTTACAGAGGCTTTCTAGATATATCCAAAAAACTCATGGGATTGGTTTACTGGGTTAAAAAGCTTGGTACCTTAGTCTTGGGGGACAACTTAGTGAATTGATATAATGTAATTCACAATGATAATGTTCTGTATCCTAGTATCACTGCTATTCATAACATTTTCAGTGGCCACTTTTTTCAGAAGTAGGCTGCCACTTCCTTCTTCCTAATCTATCTTACTCTGGAAGGTCCATTGAAACCTGTCCACCAGCAGTGATCTTGCTAGTATTTGAAATACTAGTGGCATAGCTTACAGCATCACAGCAGCACACAAGTCACCGTGTGACAAACTGACAAACGAGGCTCCAGAAGTTGAAAGAATACCAATTGAGAAGTTTCAGCAAACGGATGTAGTGCTGGAGCTGCTCACTCATTTATGCCAAGAAATTGGAAGATAGGCACCTGGCCAACTGACCGGAAAAGATCCATATTTGTGCCTATTTCAGAGAAGTGTGGTCCAAAAGAATGAGGAAATTATTGAACAATATTGTTAATACCACATGCAAGTAAGTTTTGGCTGAAGATAATTCAAAAATGGTTGCAGAAGTATATTGACAGGGAACTGCCAGAAACTCAAACTGGATTCAGAAGAGGATGTGAAATGAGGGATATCATTGCTGATGTCAGAAGGGTCTTGGCTGGAAGCAGAGAATACCAGAGAGATGTTTAGCTGTGTTTTACTGACTGTACAAAGGCATTCAACTGTGTTGGTCATAGAAAATTATGGATAGCATTGTGAAGAATGGAAATTCCAGAACACTTAATTGTGCTATGTGCTCATGAGGAACCAGTACATATACCCAGATGATGACATTCAAACAAAAGAAAAGGATACTGCATGCATACTGCATGCTTTAAAATCAGGAAAGGTGTGCAAGGGTTGTATCTTTTTACCACACTGATTTCAATCTGTATGCTGAGCAAAAAATCTGAGAAGCTGGACTGTTTGAAAAAGAATATGGCATCAGGATTGAAGGAAGACTCATTAACAGCCTGCACTGTGCAGATAACACAATCTGAGTTGCTAAAGGTGAAGATGACTTGAAGCACTTGCTGGTGAAGATCCATAGCCTTCACTATGGATTACATGTAAACATAAAAAAAAAACAGAAATCCTCCCAACTAGGCCAATAAGCAGTATCACGATAAATGGAGAAAAGGTGTCAGAGATTTCATTTTAATTGGATCTACAATCGCCATCCATGGAAGCAGCAGCCAGGAGATCAGACATTGTGTTTCAGTGGGTAAATCTGCTGTCAAAAACCTCTTTAAAGTGTCACAGAGCTGAGGTGCACATTGAAGACTAAGGTGCGCCTAACCCAAGCCATGGTATTTTCAGTAGTTTCCTATGTAAATGAAAGCTGGACAGCGAATAAGGGAGACTGCAGAAGAATTGATGCATTTGAATTGTGGTGCTGGTGAAAAATATTGAAAATATCATGGGCTTCCAGAGGAACAAACAAATCTGTCTTTGAGGAAGTATGGTTGGAATGCTCCTTAGAAGTGAGAATGGCGAGACTTTGTCTCACCTACTTTGGCCATATTGTTAAAAGGGACTAGTCCCTGGAGAAGGGTATCATGCTTGGTGAAGTAGAGAGTCAATGAGAAAGAGGAATCCCCTCAATGAGATAGATACAGTGATTGCAATGATAGGCTCAAGCATAGCGAGGATTGTGACAATGGTACAGGAATAGGCAGTGTTTTGTTCTGTTGTATATAGGATCAGTATGAGTTGGAATTGACAGCACCTAACAACAACAACAGCATCCTAGTTTGCTGAATAACATCTAGGGTCTTAAAAGCTTGC